ATATAAATAAGTTGATACATATAATATCATAAGTAAATTTTTAAATAAAAATAATTAATTATATAATAATATATCATGTTATAAACTTAAAATATTACATAGTATTAAAAGCATAACATTTTCGCATCCCATATCTTTTAGAATTTATAAGAAACTGTAGCCCAAAAGTTGGACGTGGAACCTATACCAGGCGTCACTCATTTGCATTCCCTTTTTATGCCTCCTTAGAAAGGATTGCCAACAATTCCCAGAAGTAGCCAGTCTAGCTTCTTACTGACAGACATAATGTGCAACCAACACAACTGAATTTAAGTCTAACAAACTTGCATTATAAAATTTAGTAGCAATTTGTTGAAGAATAAAATGAATTTTACAAAATAAATTATATATACAAAAAGAGAGAAAAAAATAAAATAAAATAAACCAAGACTTCTAATGATAACCATATAATAGATATAATAAAGTTAATACTCACAATTTATCTTATAAATTTAACATCAAAATGCCTTAATTTTTTATTTTCTCTATACATAATGAGATTATTTGAACTATAAAATCAAATTATGTAATTTTTACATTACTCATCATTATAACAATTTCATAATGTATTGTGTAAATATAGAATTTACTAATACTATTAACTATACCGTGCAATGAGCACCATGTCGACTCGTTAGTACCATAAAAAGAATAACTTATAAAACAAACTGGTCAAGATTAATAGCATAAAAGACCGCACTTGAGCCTCACGGCTCAATGATCATAGGCTGGTCTGTAAGGTGCATCTCCCAACTCAAAGGTTGGGATTTGATTCTCCCCACCCCCAAAATTGTAACCTTGTTCAAAAAAAATATTAAACCATTTCTTGTATTTCAGGTCTTGAAAATTTTCGAATTATATTTTAAACTTGCACCTCCGTTAAAAAAAAAAAAAGCATAAAATACCATTCAGCGTGTAAACGTTGCAAAAGGAAACGCACCAAAATTTCTATTTGATTAAACTCCCGATTTGATTCCTAAACTATTGTGTGAACTTTTGATTTGGTCATTGAACTAAAAAAAGTTTTTGATTTGGTTCCTGAACTATTATACAGACTCCTAAGTTGATTCATATTGTTTATCAATTTACCCCAAGTTAGTCATTCCATACAAAAAACCACTGTTTTTAAAACCAAATCAAACTAACCAATTGAACCGATCCAACTGTCACCCGATTGCTAAAACAGGCTGGGTGGATGTTCAAATCCATTGGGACGATCGGACCATCCAGAACTGATATCCCCACCCGATTCGTCCCACTCGACGAATTGCTCCACGTTGCAACTTCCACCCGCCCCCCCCCTTTTTTTTTTTTCTTTTCCCTCTTCTTCCACAGTAGGTTCAAACTCAAAGTTGTCAATATCGTATCGGCATATGTACTAGTTTTGCTACTGAAACGGTAGGTATCGGATATCAAAATTTTTCACGTATCGTTTTAGATTTATCGTTATAAATATATATTTTTTATAAATTAAAAATTTTGTGAAAAAGTTCTAGAAAAAAAAATAAGAAAATGACTCAATTAAAGAAATTAAAAAACTGAAGATAAAATCTACCAAGACAAACCCACAAGTCTAGCCCAAACCCCAATGTTGAGCCCACCAACAATTTAATTCAAGTGTCAACCCAATTTCATAACCAGCCCATAAAAAGTCAAAACCCAAATTTAACAATAAAAAAATAAAAAAAACCCCTTGTTTCCTCTCTTTTAAGGGGGAAAGAGATGGCAAAAGTAAGAAGGGGGTGGTAGAGGGCAGACAAAACGAAAAAAAAAAAATTCTCCCTTTTGCAAATCTGCAACTACCACCATCACCTCCATTCTTTCACCTCCGATCTTCACCATCTTCTTGTTGATTTTCACCATCTTCTTCCTAATCATCACTCTCATTGCCATCACCGTCACCAACCACCAAGCAACCAAAAAAAAAAAAAAAAAAAAAAGAAAAAGAGAAAAGAGAAAAGATGAAGTAGATCTAGCCGCAAGCTCCCCTGGAGACTCCGATCTTGACGATCTTCTTGTGTCTCATCATCATCACAGCCTCTAGAAAAGGAGAGTATTATTGCGTCTCATCGCCATATTCTTGCTGATCCATTTTTTTTGGTAGCTTCATCACCAATAATCAATACTGAAGCTTCGA